CCGCCACGCTGGTCTCTGGGCGTCGTCTTGAGGCAGTGTCAAGGCACCGCTGACGTAGTCCCATAGCTCGGCTTCCTCCAAGATGTCGGACATCTGGATACGCCAAGTGGCGTAGTTCGTCTCGCCACGAAGCGGTTGGATACGATAAGTTTCGTCGGCCATTGTGTTGGTCCAGACGGTTCACAGCAGTGTGGGTAAAGTTCGAAAAATAAAGTTGAGTTAAAAATAGCGAACGGGCTTCTGAGCTATGCAGGGCTCATAACCTGTAGAGAAGTGATAAGAAGAGGAACGTGGGATGATGAAGCAAGGCTTCTGATCCCACGCTTATATATTAAGCTGGGTGTACAATAGGAGTCGTAGTTACTAATATACAATTGATACAAGCCCGTATCCGCGCGGAAGCTGTTCCTCCCGGCGGCGGAAGAGCGTCTCATCGCTCCGCAACAGTCGGCGATGACACCCCGTCCGCGTCCGGCGAAGGATCCCTGGAGCCCACCACCCCGTCTCGCATCGGCGCGGGCAGCTTCGCATCCGTCTTCGCGCCCCCCGGCCGCGCCCTCGCGATCCAAGTCGTCCACGTCCCGGGCCCGGCGCACGCCGCCCAGATCGAGCACGAGTACCACGCGCTCCACGCCGTTCACGCCCGCTGCGGCCCCGACGCGCTGTTCGCGCTCCCGCCCGCGCTCGCCTTCTACGATCGCGGATCCACTGGGGCGCGGGGTTCGACGCGCGCGACGTCGAGTTCGGGATGGGCGGCTCGCTTTGTGCCGCGACGGTCGAGCTGCACGTCATCGACTTCAACCGGGTACTTTCCACCAGGGACGTTTTGGTACCGTACTCACTGTCGCGCGACGCTGCCCGCGGCTGGTGCCGGACGACCCGCTGCAGAAACTATACGCGGCGTGTCGCTCTCCGTTGGGTGGGCGAGGACACCTGGAGAGGGACCGCTTGCGTCTGTGGGAGATAGTCCGTCTGTGATGACATGGACGCTCGTCTCCTTCCCAATGCAGCCACCGTCGACCCAGAACAGGCCACGGCGGGATCCGAGCTGGGGCGGCCAGCCAGCCGCCATCGAACCAGCCGCCATCGAACCAGCCGCCATCGAACCAGCCGCCATCGAACCAGCCGCCATCGAACCTCTTCAGACACCCGTCCCCGCACACGCCGCTCCCACCTTCCTTCTCTTCATACTCTACGTCTCTTTAATCACACCCAAGCACCATGCCCACCCCGTCCCTGCCTCTCGCCGTGCTCCTCCTCGCCGTCGTCCCCGCCCTCGTGTCCGCCCTCCCCGTCGCCCCCGCCACCCTCGCCCTCGCAGCGAGTCCGAACGTCCTCGCCGCCCACTCCTCGCTGTCCTCCGCGAAGGCGCTCGACAGCGACCTGCAGAAGACGAGCCTGGCCCGCTCCGTCCTCGCCGTCCCCGCCCTCGCCCCGTCCTCTCGCGCTCTTCGCGGGCGCGCAGGCGACGCGCAGACCGCGGGCGGCAACGCCTTCAGCGGCGTCACGGGCGACGCGTCCGGCGGCAGCATCACCAACTACGCCGCCGTCGGGGACGAGGCCCAGAACGCCCAGCGTGAGTACCCCTGTATGTATGCGCGTGGCCGCGATGCTGATTCTGCGCGCTTTTCACCCGACGACAGAGCAAGCGGGCGTGGGCGGCACGTCCTACTCCGGGGACGCGCGAGGCGGCGCCAGCGTGCTCGCCATGGGCCCGGGGGGGAACGCGTACACGGGCGACTCGGGGAACGCGCGGGGCGGGCGGGTCGTGAACGACGCCGAGAACGGGGCCGTTACCGGTAGCGGGACGAGTACGTGGCTGTCTTTTTCAGTTGGCGTGCGTTCTAATGCTCTCTTTCGCGGGGCGCAGACACGGCGGGCGCGGGAGGGACGAGCGGGACGGGGAACGCGTACGGCGGGAATGTGTACACCGGCTAGCCGGCTGGCAGACGCAGGGTCTTGTAGCTTGGGCGGATGGCCGTTCGTCGTTCGTCGCGTGGCGATGTCTCACATACAGTCTATGCATTCACACTCGTTCACATTGGCTCGAGAGCGATTGGATACGCGTCACAGCCCGGCCCGGGATGCCCGCTCTCAGATAACCTGAACCGAGGACTCCAAACAAGGTGCGGAGGGATGCGTGGTGCAATCGTCGTAGATGCTCGACGTGTCGCGTCGACGCTCACAGCGTCCTCGATTTCTCCCCTTGCGCTCAGGTCTCCTGTCCCAAACCTCGCAGATTCATCTAACGAATCATGAGCGTCCTCTGCTCTTCCTTTTCTCCCGTGGCGGGCACACCCGTACGTCGCTCTCCGTCTGCTGGGGCGGCGCTATAATCAGCAGGCCTGCGAGCGTTCGAACATCTCCTGCCCCTGACACTCCTCGATACTAGAGCTGGTCGCGAACGGAGCGAACGAGAGCGGGTGCGCTCTCATCTCGTCGTGCCTCGGCGCACTGGTTTGCACGGGCAGTGATACACTCTGCTGACCTCTCCCATCCGCGCAGACTCGCGACGAACTGGGAGCCGGAGACAGACGCCTTGGAGGCACCAGACATCCTGGTACGGACGAGGTAGCCGACTACTGGGGTCCCCCTCGCCACCAGCTTCCGCCGTCCGTGCCCAGCTCTCGCCGTCTCCTCCGCTGCCGCCCTCCGCAGGTCGACGGGCTCCGTCTGCGACTCTTCCTTCGCGACCATCGATGCATGTGCTCGCTGGTCGCAGCGGCCCGTCCGACTCTTCGCTTCAGCTCGGGACGAACGCGTCTTTGGGAACAGATCGTCGCTGAACTCGCTGCCGGGAAAAGGCTCCGTGCCGCGACGGCGGCCCCATACGTGCATTATACAGCGGTCCCCACCCCGAAGGACATCGCAGCAGGCGGCGGCCGCGGACACTCCGGACGTATGTGTTTCGATCAGATCGGGCGTAGGTTGGATACTCGAGGAGCGAGGGGCACCCTCTCCCCGATTCCGTGTGGCTGCTGCGCTGGTCGCAGCCTCCGCGTTCCCTTCCATCTCGTTGGCACGCATGCTGGCGGTCGTCCCACAAACGTCCCGCGCCTCTGGGACAGCGTTGCGGCCAGTCGGGCAGTGTGAATGTCCCTTCGGGACGTGCCAGTGTGCGGAGCCAGCCTCCGAGGTCAGACTTCCTGCTGGCCTCCGGTGTCTGTCTGTGTCAGCGCGCGTAGCCGGCATGGGTGGCCAGGCGTGAGGGCGAGCTACGCATGTCGGATGAGGCCGGAGAAGCGACGCCGCGGCGTGCAGCCTGAGGGCTCGACGAGTGATGTGGGCGGATCGGGGTGTTTGCTTGCACGGCGCGCGATCGGGCCCAGCCTGCATGTCTGCGCTTGCAGCACAGGGATCGGGCGCGGAGTACATATCAGCGGGGACGGGTGTTGCGGTAGCCTGCTGTTCGGGACCCAATGATGGCGGCTGGGCAGGATCGTCCCTCTGAGGCGGTCACGGCGCTCAGTACTCGGGAACTCGTCCATAGAGGCTGGGACGTCTCAGAGACGACGGTCCGACAGTCTTCGCAGGAACGAGGCCTTGATAGGCGATGAGGTGTACAGTTCATGCATGATGCCGCAAGGTGCGCCATCGATCTGCTTCGGCTTGGGCTGGGATGAAGAGTCGCCCCGAGCCCTGCGGAATACGTTCCGCGCGACATGGCGGTCTGTTTGCGAAACGCGAGACAACATTGGAATGCTGGCGGGGTCGGCGAGCAGCGGCCGCGTGAGACAGGGAGGATATCATTTGAGGCAGTCCTCCCTCAATGGGCAGCTCGGCGGTATGCAGTCAGGAAGCTCAGCTGCGGACAGTCTCTAATGTGTCTCTAATAGTTCATCCCCCGAAGCGGCGGAGACAGATTCCGGGAATATAGTACTATCATGTCGGTTTCGAGCGCGAGTCTCTGGCACATGTGACAGATGCCCCACTGAAGCGCTACTCAAGGGAAACCAGATACATAGTACAGCGCAATTCGGGAGGATCTTCCATTACTTGTCAGCATTAGATCCTCCACCAATCCGCAGAGACACCCATCCTTCTCGCCGTCAAAAACGGCACTCGACTCAACCTGCCAGGGGAGGACACACATCAGGGTAAGCAATCCGAGGATTACTTCCGTATGTCTATCGATGCTAACCGCATAGGATTTCCCGGAGGCTCTTGCTCGATGATGCAAGCAAACAGTACCCAGTGCCCATGTCCGATGCATCCCGCCTTCCATGAGGAAGTCTGGATATCTCAAGTACGTGCTATCCAAGAGCAGATTGTTCTTGCTGTGTTACCGGCAACGTTGTACGGTACGGGATGGCTGTAGCCCTCTCATTCCGCACGCTAAGATATCATGTGCAGGAATCCTGACAGTTCTCATCGTATCATCCATCTATGCTCTCACACGGTCCGTCGGACTCCGCCCGGCTGAGACCGAGATGGGATTCACACATGACGCACCGCAGGCAATACGGAAGACTTCAGTCGCCGATCATCATAACGCTCCTTGCACTCTTCGTATCTACAACGGTATACTTGATTATAACACTACTAGCCGTTCAGAGCACCATTCTCGATTTGATGACCGTTTCGCCATCAAGCCTGCGGGCACTTCCTTCGGAAATAATCCCCGGACCGCCTCGAGACTCGGACGCGCCTCGAGACTACTACCGCGCCCAAAGCTGCACAAGTACTGCTACGCTCACGGTTAATGTTCGACACCCATCATATCGGACAAAGGTGCTCGGTCCTGACAATGTCTGTCCGTCTAGGTCCTCTTGGGAGATGCTATCGTGTGCTGGAGAGCATGCGTCCTATGGCAAGGCAATCGTGCTGTCAAAACCATATGCGCTGTCTTCCTACTGACCACGTTCGGTGAGGACATCCACCACCGGTCTTCGAGATTGCGTTCACCTTGACTCCGCTCGTCTTAGCGCTGGGTATCGTGGACACGGTGTTCAGGTGCATGCCGAGCGCGAGATGGACTCCCGACCGTCACGCCATCGGATCGGTGTACGCAGGTCTCACATACGGCGTGGCCGCCTTTGTGCTGTCCTTCAGTACGAACCTTCTGGCCACGTTGCTTGTGGGATACAGAGCCTGGTATGAACCTATCGGCCATGAGCTCGGGAATGCCGACGTCCGCTCAATGAGGATTTCTAGGAAGGCGAGACACGAGTTTCGAAAATATATCGTCGTGGGACCCCTGAGGTCGCAGATGGAGAAAGTGTTCGCCCTGTTGATAGAGTCTGGAGCGGTATATTGTACCTTTTGGGTGGGTGGTCATACTCGTCTCTTTCCGGGCACGGGGAATCATTTGAACCGGGCGAATGCAGGCGGTTTCTGCCGTCTGGCAGATAGGCTTGTATGAAAGCTCGATGGTATTGAACACGAGATCCGACTCTTTCTGGAACGTATTCGGGATCATCATCAACGGTGCACTCGTGCCGCTCGTAGTGCGTGTCCCGGTCAAATACCGTCTTGAGCGACCTAGTCACCTCTGCGGTGCACACAGGCCATCTATCCCACGATCATCATCGTTCTCGTCGCGTTGAACAAGTCACAGATGGAGAATGGCTTGCTGCCCACCGTATCTGTCCCTTCGCTGCCTCGCGTCGCTGGAGTCAGTTAGTAGACGCTAAATCCGATGTTGAGAAGCAGGAAGAGAGCTTACGACAACGAGGACAGCCTCGTTGCGCTAGATTACATAGGTTGGACTAGAATAGCAAGCTAAGTACATTTTCAAGTTAATCCTACGCTGTCATGTATGCCCGCTGTGCCTGACATCAAGGCATTCCGACGTGCCTAACGACCGACTCTGACTAGTAGCACTTCGTATGGTCATTGAGAGGTCTTGCTGAGATCACATCCGCAGCGACACTTCACGATCGGACCGGTACAACAACGATACACAGCAGCTGCGTATCATTGGGGCTGCCGATGCGTTAGAGTAAATAGCCCATAATGCAAGTCAAAATCGAGGTTCCAGCTCGACAGGCAACTCCGGACGGTTCGCAGTCAAGTAGTCCTTGAAGTTCTCTTCGTACTCCCTCGGATCCCACCCCGCCTGCAGCCGGAACCGGAACTTCTGTACGAGTGCGCAGACGACAGTCCGCATCTGCTGCATCGCCAGGCCCTTCCCAGGACAATTCATCGGCCCTACCGAGAACGGGATGAACGCCGCCTCGTTGTGCACGAACTGGAAGTCCGGGGTCCTATGGTGAACGGGCGGTGGCGCGAGACCTTGAGGCAGCCGTGCGCTCTCGATGGTCAGTTGTCCGGATGCGATGAGCCAGCGCTCGGGCCAGAACGTATCTGGGAAGACGAAGTTCCGGGGGTCGCGGTGGAGGACGTAAGGCGAGATATGAATGAGCGTTCCTGGGGGAAGGACCCTGCGCACATCGGAACAGACGCCCTCATGTCAGGGGTACGGGATGGGTGGACCAGAGTGCGAAGGAGCTTACACAGAACCGAACACAAGCGGTTTGGAATGGTGCGGTACTTGACGTGAGCTGTTCGTGGGAACAGGCGGAAAGAGGCGGAGAGCCTCATGTCTGCAGCTGTCGGTAAGGGTCTGTCGAAGTATGGTGAAACATACGTACATGACCGCTGTCAAGTAGTGCAAGTCGTGGTGGCGCTTCATATCATAGACGTTCTCTCCGAGAGGGTAAACCTGATCGACTTCATCCTGAATGGCCGCATAGGTAGAGGGATCTCTCAATAGGCAATAGAAGATGCTCGTCAAGGCGCTGGAGGTGGTATCTGCTCCAGCGATGATTGCGACGATGCCGTCATTCAGAAGCTGGAAAAACGGAGGCGGCTCTTTCTGCGGAAGATCCTCGTTGTTCTGACATAGAAAATTAAGCGCATGCAGATACTGACGAGGTTACGAGCCTACAAGGTAGTAAAAGAGGTCGCGAGTAATGGAGCCTTGCGCCACACGCTTCATTGACTGCTCTCTGCCGTAGTCGAGGAGCGTGTTAATCGGTCCCGTCGCACCAGGAATGTAGCCGAGGTAGATCCCAAGCCACGGGACTTGACCCATGAAAAGCCCTGCACTGTACATGCCGTGGTAGTCAGGTAGCCATACGTTATGATAGATACTCACACGATGCCCTTTTCCAATAGAGCCCATATATTGTCGTGATCTCCTTCTTGCATCAGCTCGGATCCTCCATTGAAACTGCATGCATGCCAATATAATTGAATAAGTATCACAGAGGACGTTGAAACGTACGCCATATCAGACATGAAGTCGAACCTAATCCAGGGGCCAGTCAAACACACGAATAGAGAGAGACAGCTGCGTTTCTCACGCAAGGTAGTTAAACCAGTCACCCAGAACGACCACTCCTTTTTGGACTTCAAGTACGTCGACTAGCTGGCGTATGCGAGTCGCTGCAATATTCTCGTAGTGCCTGAGTGCAGTCGGGGCGAGCCCCCGGGTCCATGCGCGTCGGCGATGAGAGTGCTCCTCAATATTCTGAATGCCAGCTATGTGCACAGTCTCTTCAGATAGGACTGTGCCCTTATAAACTGCCTCAAAGAGTGAAGATGGCACGAGGGTCAGGTCGAAGTACAAGGAAGGTACAAAGTGGGAGCAACGCACAGGCGCTTTTGGGTATGCCTGAAGCACCTAATACCGGTCCTATCAGGGATACGTCCCGTACAGAGATCATGTTTGGTCCTAGCATGTACGGAATTCAAGGTCAGCTCTATCCAAATAATGCGTAGTACCGAAGCCTCGGGATCTTCCCACCTATTCTCACAATGTCTCCGTAACGCTCGTGTAAGACTCTCAGGTATCTCATTTGCTGACCTGCAGTTATCCGAACTGCATGCCAGAACATCGATGTCCGACACCAGAACGGACCAGGGTAACGATGCAGAGGGTGAAAGGGAGAGAACCGATAGAAGATGACCGACGTGGATAGCATGCCAAGATATACCACGTAGGAGAAGACCATTGTGGAGAATACGCCGAGCTCGTCGCTCGGGGCAAAGATGGTGTAGCTCGTCGCCATAGCAGGAGGGAGAAATACGAGAGAGGAATGGAGTAGAAGGCTGAACATTTCACACCTCCGGAATATCTGGTGCGCTAGCTTATGGGAAGAAGTGGTCAGTAGATATACGAGGCAGATGGAAAGAAATGGGGCTCACCAATGCTGAGAGACACAAAGACGGCCCGAGTGTTTCCCATAGGGAGCGGGATAGCAGCAACACCATGGACCACTCTAGGCTTGCTGCTGTGGATGTCGGCGAAATCGGTGGAGTGGGTCCGCAGAGCGGTGGTGGAGAGGAGGCGAGTGCAGAAACGACGTCGTGAGGCCAACGCTAGGTAACTTAGCCCGCCTGAGGGATGGGCACGGGAGCCTCAAAGCTGTATTAATGGAAAACGTCGTACGAGATTCCAGATAAGGCTGTCAGCAGGCCATCTGGCATGCGTCTTCACTTACTAGAGCTGAGGTCAGAGTGGACGAGTCTAGCCGATTCTGAGGAACATTCCTATTCCGCTTCAGCTTAGGGAACTTGCAAGTCTACTCGGGAAGATGGCGCTTGGAGCTATTCATAGCAGAGTCCGCGTTCGTGAAAAAGCGACTCCGACTCCAAAACGATGATTCTACTTTGGCCGCTTCTCTAATGAGGTGGAAGCGGTTCCCTTTGACTTCTGACCCTGTCAACCCGGACGAATGATCATGGGGCTAAGCTCGAGCGTAGTATGAGGCTGCACTCACATTCCAGCCCGCTGAGTGCAGCGACTGCTCACGGGGCTTCTGAGGACCATCATGAAACTGTGTAGAACCTGAGGCCTGAGGCTGCAGCGCTCGATGCCCTCGTCGTGGCTGCTCGCATCGGGCCAGGCGCCACCCAGTATTTGCTACTGTTGTCACTGTGGCTCTCAGATCCTTCGCCGGATCTGGGCGCCAACCAACGCGTCACCGACGACGACCCTCTCTAATCAAGTACTGAGAGCTTGGTGCTGTTGACATGTGGAACATAGATTGCGCGATAATCATTCAGGATCGCCATCTCGACAGCCAAGGAAAATCTCATATCCTCGACGAGTCTGAAACTCGGACGTCTAGGTCAGCTGCACTCGGCATCTATACACAGTGTAGGGCGGAAGCTGGCACAATTCTCAAAGTCTGAAATGGGCGATTGAGATTGAGATTCATGCGTTCTATTCATACTAGTTTATCTGTGCAGCTCCCGCTCTCATTCAGATGCATCGCCTCGTTCACATATCTGTTTACTGCCAGTGTGCACCATCAAAGATGGACTGCCCGCGGTGTGACGACGGCATCTGTGAGATTGGGGAGCGATTCAATATCAAACCATACGTACGTGTAAGCAATGTGCTACGGACATCGACAAACCATGTCTGGCCGTGTGTAAGATCAAAGCAAGAGCTTTCGCACCGGTGTATCACGGCCGCCCGATCCCTCAAGTAAATATAGCTGCTCTTCGCTGGTCTCTGTACGTGAGAAAATCCTACATATTGACCCAGGCAATGACGACAGGAGTTTCCGGGCCAGACAATGCAGATCTTGGCCGAGCTTGGAGCTCGATCGGTATGTACCCTTCTTCGTACATTGATGATGACGTTATTGTACAACTTACAGGTACCTCTCGCTATGCTTTCAGGTGTGCTTGGTGTCATCTTTCAGTAACGCTTCCGACAACGGCTTGTCGTCTTCCTGCCATATCCTTGCCATATTCTACATCTTCTACTCAATGCGAATGCATTTTTGCCAACCCCACGTATCACATAGTTCTTATCGAACTTGATAAGCTCTAGTCAAGTCCAGCCCGCAAGGCGCCGTGCCGTGCCTTCTTCGGCAGGGATATCAGTTACATAAATTTTTCGATCCTTATAGTTATAGTAAAACCCGAATTATTTGGCCCAAATGTTATAGTGGCCCCTCCAAATATTTGAGACAGTTGGAGGGATGCCCCTCCCAGATATTCGAGGCAAAACCCAAATATTTGGGATGTATGTAGGAGCGAGGGGAGGAGGGTGCTCCCCCGCACTAAATATTTTTACTAAATATCTGCCAAATATTTAGTGTCAGCGCTACATAGCGAGGATCTGCCTGTGTGCGCTGTGGGTCCTCTTGTGATCCCTCTAAATATTTGATAAATAGTTCACCCAAATATTCTTCATTGAGTACAGTGGTGTGCACGGTGACGTCGGTGCTCATTCTGGCTAATCTATTACAAACTCTCAACTACATCCCGCGCTTGAATCTCGTGTCCCCGGTGCTGCCGTTGGGTCCGCCATAGCATCATTTTGCGCTTCCGCGAGCTTGTGACGACCGGAACGGAGAGCCGGAGGAGGGACCCCATGTGCTGCTCGCGTACAGGCTGGCAGAGTATGTGCTTGGGACGAGGACCGCGGTTCCACGAACCCGTATCGTCGTCCTCACCAAAGCTGCCCAAGTCGCGCTCGCGGTCTCACTCGGCAGGATGGGGAGCGGAAGTATGCGGCGACGTGGAAGAAGGGACGGGAGGGGCGTTCAGGCTCATTAGCAGGTTCGCAATGTTGCTTGCGGTTGCGGACATCTGCTTGCTACCTGAACTCGGTACCTCGGGAGCGCTGGGGTCATCTTCCGCCGCGAGCAACGACTTCGCACTAGCAGCGGGCGGCATTGGCGTTATTATTTCGGAAGAGTAGCTTCCACTTCGACATCTTCTTGGAGATCGATGGGGTGGAGGAACTAAGAGAAGTAAGAGAGGGAGGGAAGGGAAGAGCAATTGGCGGCAATGACATACCGAGAAATGACATACCGAGAGAAATAGGATACGGAACTCGACGAACGTTCGAAGTGGCGGACATTGGAGTGGTGGCCGAGCGTCGTGAAGTGCGGGAGATCTCGTGGGCAAGCGCTTGAGAGGCTTATGCAAGCGTCTCGAGGGTAATGTCGTGCGCGGACGACCGACTAGTCCGGGATGTCGCTGTGATGCCCCTGCCCTTGCGAGCACCGCGCTTGCGTCGCTTATGAGTGGAGATCGGGCGGGAGTAGCGCTTTGTTGCTCAGTCTCGCCGTCGTGAACAGCCCATGGTGTGATAGGACTCTCACGCTTGTGCTCGAACGCAGGGCCCGAGGATGGAGCCCGTGAGAGGTTGCGAGAGGGACTACGGGACATACCCTCGCAAGCCAGGCGGCGCTTCGTGGTCATTCCTGAAAAGGTGGCTGAGGGCGTCTACGAGGCACGGACGGGAGTCCTGCTGAGGGCTGAGGCTGAGGAGAGATGGGGTTAGTGACACCCGAGCTAGAGGACGATGTGAGGGAGCGGGCGGAGCGGATCGTGCCTGGGGCCAGTGTCCGGACTGGAGGACGCGGTGGGGTTCGGCAGTCGCCTAGATGCGACTGCAATCGTTTCTACAAAAGCGACACACAAGGAGAATGAGGACATACTGGTAGTAATGGCGGTAGGGAGATTCGCGGGCTAGGCGAGTTCCCAACCCTCTGTGGGTTTGCAGACGTCTTCCGCGGAGTGCTTCTTGGTGGGGACAATACGCGTCCGAGCTGTTCTTCTCGATCCTTCGTCGCGTGGGCCTCGAGCAGGAGGTGCTGTCTGGCCCTTGAAGAGACCACAGCAGGCGTAAACAGCAGAGCGGGAGAGGTGGCTGAGGCCGAAGTTGTGAGCCATCCACAGCTGCAGAGGGATGGATTACTCACCGTCTGTCGCGGTTGCCCCACCAGTGTCTCTTCTCCCTCTCCTCCCGCCACCGCCTCAGCTTCATGACTCCTGCGTTGTCCGTGCAGCAAGGGGTCCGAAGGCGGTGCTGAGTAGAACGACAGACGGAGACACATGGAAGCCTGAGCAGAGGGAGACGTGATAGAGTGCAGAAGTTAGACGCTTGACCCGCCTGCCAGCGCGTCTAACTTCCGCACTTAGCACATCTCGTGTCTCCTTGGTCTCCCCCAAGCTCTCCTGACCACACTCTCCTGTCTAGCGGCCACAGCATCACGGGGCTATCGATTGCACCGTGCCCTTCATTCTCTGCTTCTCTCGACACCTTTCTGCGCTTGCTTGTCCATCTTCGCTACGCCACATCTGGTACTCGTATCTCCTACGCAGCCTATACTGCTACTACAGAACACTTGGTCTCCCCTGCACCATTTGGCCCCGCCAACCCGCCTCTATCCTATGCGGATCACACCAAAAAAACTTTAGCAACATGCCAAACCGTCTGCGCCCCAATAACCACTCTCGCGTGCGTCATCCCAGGTACGTCTTCAATAGTTCCCGCTACCTCCAGCTCTGCAGTCTCACGGCCCGATGTTGTATCGCCATCTGCCTCGAGATCCTCGCTTCCGATACCCCCCAGCACGGATCCTCAAATATCGCCCGCGGCCACTTCTTCTAAGCCAACCTCGCTGTCTTCGGCAGCATTCATCTCACCCCAGGTTCAACGGTGACGTTAACCACCACCACGGGCCTACCTCCTCGGATCCGTCTGCACTATCGACCCCACGGCAGTCTACAGTGCCCCCTGTAGATGCACGGGACAAGCGCAAAGCAGAGGTGGCAGCGTCTTCGCGTGCGTCCACCTGAATACAATCATCGCAACTCTCGCAGCTCGTGTCTTCGTCCGCCAATCCCAACCTAGCTGCCTCCTCAACCTCTTCTCCACCACCCTCCGATCTCGACCCCTCAGCTGGACATACTGCCAGTGCTCTTGCAGGCATCTCGGTCAAGTCCTCGCCGAGCATGCCTCCCTAAATACTAATGGACATTTGCTCATTCGCCGAGTACGACGATTATTTCGTGGTGAGCCCTAGCCGTTCACCGTCTGTGCTGAACCCCACACCACCCTCCAACATGACCCCTCCTGCAAACGATGATGCTGAAAGCTGGCTGGCAGTGAAAGCTGCCGCAGCACCCTCAAACACCGTGACCGGCCTTGTGGAGGGGAAGGGCGAAGGCGACTGGTGAGGACGATAGGTGACGTGAGAGAGAAGCTTCTGGAGGGCACGGTTCCAGGAAGAGCACGTCAATCCCCTCTGATCATATTCCCTACCACTGTGTCTGTCTTTGCGTCATTTTCCATCCTATACGCTATGTCGAGCCCGCAGTCTTCCTCTAACTAAGTTCTTGCCTGTGTACCGTCATTGTTACGCGTTGCGCGTCGCTCTACAGATTTGCAAGTGACAATCGCAGAGCAGTGATCACGGCCTCCTGCCAAGCTCTGGCAGACCTCACATAGCTCTATCACACTACAGTGAGTTCTAGGATCACGAGGCCTTCTGCTACGCAAGTATGAACAGTCCAGTGAGCCAGTGAATCGCGTAAGTCGCACGAGTTCGTCCGTGTGAAACGTGTGCAGGGCGACCCTACCATTGCCATCGGCACCGAGGCCTGAGGCATGATACGCTCTTGTCGACGTTTCGGTCGATCCCGCGTGCAGGGCTGTAGATACTGTGGAGGTACTGGACTGGGCCCGCAATTTCATGAATTAGCGCAGGGGAAAGACTACAGACTCAGATGATGGTAAGCGTACTCGGAGGTCCTCCAGGGGTTGAGAAATATCATAGACATGGCGGGTTGCAATAGAACAGAAAACCTACAGGTGACTCCCAGGGGCGCAGATGGTCGTGCCGCCCGACACTGGCGACTTTCTCCAAGGTGTCTTGTATGCAGCGAGCACAACGTGAGACAGGCGGAAACGACACACCCACCCAGACTACTCCAGGAAGATGGTATACAAGGAATACTACACTTAATACATGCTTCCAGAAACCCATTGAAGGCACGATTGTGAGTAAATTCCTCCCTAGCTTTACACGTGTGTCATGGAGGAGGCGAAGTACGCGTCCACATCCTTGACGCGCTCGAACGGCACGACCATACCCACATAGCCGTCAGGCACACTATGACGATTGCGCCCTCCTGCTTATCGATGCCATACGCATCGTAGCCCCCGCACCCAACGTGTGCGTACATGTCTGTATCGTCGAGCAGAACATGGGACCAATGTGACCGGAACAGAGGAGCACGAGAGCCCGGTATCATAAGGGATTCAGATGCGACATACCTATATAGTTCACGGCCTGCTTCCGATTGCTGAGCTGATACTAGACCAGATGTCGAACACCTTTGCACTGTCTCCCTTCTCAAACCTTGCCGGGAACCTGTCCGGTCGCACCATCTCGTCCGCCAATGCATGCGCGCATGTCAGCTGTGCTTTGTCGGGGTGTTACCCGTGAAGACGACGACCTTGAATCGTCTCCTACTTCATATATCTCAACTGGCCAGAACTCAGCACTCCGAGCCGACAGGAGGTTCAAGGGTTGCTTAAATCAGTAGAGGCTACGGGGACTTGGTTCGGACTCATCTTCATATCTAGCTATCTCATCCATAGCCTCCGTCTCAACTACCTCTGCAACATAGACGACCCCTATGGCCCTCGTCTCATCTCTCTCTGCACCAGCTTTCACTCAAGCCCTTCTGGCCTCGCCGACGTAGAGCGATGGCCCGAGGTAGCCATGCCCACCTCCCTGACCCCTTCCGACAACGAAGTCTGCCCCAGCTGTCCGTAGGCGACAATCAGGTTTCCCCAGCCTGAGGGCAATCTCAAGTACACGACGATTATCCTTGATCCCTCCCGGACGGGCATGATGGGGCTGTGGGTCAATGGCAAACGCGCCTCAATGTCGCGCAACTCCGTCATGTTGTCGATGAGGCGGGAGGCAGACGGTGCAGATCAGGATGCTCCCGCTGCACCGACGATGAAGACCCCGATCACGACGGAAGTCATCTCTGCGATGCCCGTCTCACCCATGAAGCCGGAGGCACCAAGTTCACCTATCAAGGATCGTGGGTGAGAGAGCTCAGCTCTCTCTACAGTGCAGACAAATGGCGGAAGGGCAGCGACCGAAGGACAGCAGTCAGATGCGGCAAGACCGCCTGCGTTGTTCCGATCATTGACTTCCAAGGTGCCGCAGAGATGGAGAGACGGCGGAGGCAGAGGCTGCTTGCGCGGGCACACCCACCAGGAGTAGCCCCACGGATGCCGATGGTCGCGATGGACTTGAACCCGGAGGAGTCAAGCTCGTCGAGCGAGGAAGAACCTGAGCCTGAGCCGGCGGAGAGAAGGGGTGATGAGCTCGCGGACGAGGAGGACGAGGACATTGAAAGGGATGGGGATAGTTCGGAATTCTCTGAAGACGAATTCGACCTGTGAGTACTCCTGATACTCCTCCCTCCTGCACGTAGCTTGACAAGCAATCAACCTTGTAGTGAATTTGTGGTCAGTTGAGGACTAGGGATGCACTCGGACAACCCGTCCGAGAATGCGTTGCAGCTCTCTGCGATCTCCACCTCCGCATCCTTGTCCTCGATGATGGCCTCGCCCGAACCACCGAGCACAAGCGCGCATGTCTTGCACCTGAGCCCCATCCAGGAAGGCAAGGAGTGCGAGCGGCTGTCCGTCTCGTCCGAGTGCGATGAAGGACAGATCGACGCGATGTTCGAGATGCTCACCCGGCCCCTAGCACCGCCGCAAACAGCTAGACACAACCTCCTCCTCCTGGCCTGTTCGCCACCAACACTGCATCGTCGGGTGCGTGGATGCCCGATGGCATGTTCGGGCAGAAGGCGGTCGCGCCGGTACATCCTGTGGGGTTGGCGCTGAGCGCGGTGCTCGCTGCGACGTCGGGTTCGTTGTCGTCGAATCCATTTGGGAGCTGTATAGTGTGGTGTCAGGACCTGCAAAGAGCGAGAGCATGGTCGTGCTATGGCACGCGAGCCAGCGAGCCGGGTATCTGCAAATACGGAACATTCGAGGAGTTGCTTGAGTTCACATTGTTCACGTACCGGGAGGGTGGGTGGCTGTTGAAGCTTGAAGGCTGACGAGGGGTAAGTGGGGACCCGAAGCGGGTTCAATTGTGGAGATGAGGACACAGGACGGGGACATGCTGGGGAGGTGGATCGTCAGCTGGGACGAGAATGGCTTCGGACATGCAAGGAGGTCGGGCAGGTTGTGCGGTGAGTGACCCTGCTTTCGAGCAGACCTGGACTCGTCGTAGTGGAGTGCACACCTGGCAAAGAGTCCGAGGCAAGGTGCGGGCACTACTGGGATGGATGTTGTGGCCAAGTCTAGCCGAGATGAATGTACGGGTAGCTTTGCGCCCGAAATTGTGTGTAGCGGAATTCTTCGTCGTATGAGCAGTGAGTATATCAGAGCATGTACAGTACACTAGACAGACACTGAAATATATCTCGTTACAGTGAAAACCAGTTCACGGAATGTAGGTTGCAAACGGTGCTAGACGCAAATCGCACAAACTTTCGCATTAGGAGTCGAGCGCTTAATTAGCACGCGACTTGCTCTCTGTCCGCCACCATCTTGTTCGACCATCCGCCCCCCGCGTGCTGTCATATTGCAGATCTTCTACTCTAGTCGATTGGTCCCCTGTGCCCTTCTCTTTCTGGCAAAATCTCTTTGTCCCGCACAACTCTCTGCGTCCATTCTGGCTACACCAGACGCGCCAGCGCAGTCGACCTGCACCGAACGGTACCTGCCAAGGTCAAAAATATGCTGGCCTTCGATGATCTGCTGGAGCGACCGGGACGCGTCGATCTCTGGAATCGGGTAGTGCTTCTGCTTCCAGGTGCGTCAGAATCGCAAAAGTACTCACACCCCTTCCAGTGTCCTCCTGGCCCCAGATCCATGGTCATCCCACGTCAGCACTATGTTGCCAGTTGCTGGTGTACCCGGACGACAACAGCTCCCAGAATCTCTGGCGCCACGGAGAGCACAGGGAAAGCAGATCAAGGATCAAGAGACTTTCGGCTTGACGATGGGCACGGAGCGTGCAACTGCGCTTCAGGATGCGGTCCAGGACGAGCTCATGAAGCAGCAGTATAGCACAAAACCAGGTATGGGCGCAGTCTACTTCCCGGTGTGCGCAAAGACTGACCTACCATACCTCGCACAAGACCCCGTCGTGGCCGAACATATCACCATCATGGCCATCAACAACAAAACGGCAGGTGAGTTGCTCCTCTGGGCGCATTGGGTTCACCTTCGTTCGCGCTTGGGAGCGGGAAGTAGGGCGACATATGCTGACTGCCCTTCCACCCAGATCACCTCAGAACTAGACGACTGTGAGCATCTCTTACTCCATCCTTGTCGGTTAGCGTGCTGAAGAGTTGGGTTCATGGTAGTCATTGATTCGGATTTTGGTATGTTGCACCTTTTCCCTTGTCATATTCAACTCGCACGTACACAGATACCAGTTTCGTCCGTCAAAATCTGCACCCTCCGTGCTGGTCACGCCCACCCCTATCACACCATCTCTGTCCCTGTGCTCCGCACATTGTGCTCAGTCGCCGACCATCTGCAAATTCGCCCTCAAGTGTACAAACCCAGTCTGTCGATATTCGCACCGATCACCCGTCGCCACTACCAAGAGTGGTATCGTCCTGAGTAACGAGCCGTGTGAGAACAGCAAGGATTGCAAGGACAAGGACTGCATCAAGGCGCGCATCAGCCCTATTCTACTGAATCCCGGAGGTAGGTGTCTATGATCTCCTTTGTTGTCGCATTGGCCTCAAATCGCCCTGCAGCGGAGGTGCCAAAAATTTCAAAGCAACATCACTATCCTCGCATTGACGCTGCAAGGGGCTGCCCCCTGTCGTTACGGCGCCGCGTGTACCCGCCCCAACTGCTCCTTCTACCCACCACGTCCCTCCAGTCACCGTGCCTCCGTCCTGTGCAAATACAGTGTCGCGTGAACGCGCGTCACCTGCCCTTGCCAGCATGCTAAGAGCTGCGTCCTGCCCACATCTTTCTACCGCGGTCAACGATGAGTTGTCGCGGCGACTAGGCGCGTAGACTCGGGTCGACGTTCGGCGACGACCCCGTAGGCGAGCGGCGAGGAGCCGAAAGGGGGAAAGCGAGGAAAAGAGGGATAAATGCAACAAGAAACTCGACGGGGCAGAGCGGAGGCCGGCACGAAGGCACAAGACCTACGAAGCTAGTCTTCACGCAGATAGCGACAGACTAGTCCCAATGACCAAGTTATACATTAGCAATCGAAGAGAGATACAACACTATGGTCACTCACCTAGTCCCAATGACCAAGAGGTCGAGATGGGGACTAGGGAGCGCCTAGGGGGGTCCTTATATACTAGAGGGGCTGCTTAGCAACCAAGGACAAGGCGCGAGAGCGAGGCAGTGAAGATGACAAAGGGGGAACAAAGGGCGAGAAAGAAAAGGCAAGGGCATGGCGATCACGGGAACGTAGCATGCGGCTGTGGGAACGTATCTACAGTGTCCAAACTGGGATGAGCTAGGAAAGG